AGGTAATTTGTTTAGTAACTAAACCTATATAATTCGAATATAATTGTTTTAATTATTAATTATATATTATTTATTTTATTTTAATAAAAAAAAATGCAAATTTCTTAAAATGTATATGTTATTATTTATTATGAGCTCTAACTATGTTGATATATATATATATATATTCATGTAGTGGGGATATGGATGGAAGAATACCAGTGACTTCAACTAAGTACTCCATTAAGAAGATGAAGCTTTCTATCAAAACTCCATGGCATGCTTGGTACCATGGTGGAGAGGTAACTCAAATCATACACTTATTTTATACATTTTCTTACATATATATATGTATGTATGTATGTATGTATGTATGTATGTATATGAATATATGATTGTATCGTAATTATACTTGGGTAGGTTGGCGGATACACACAAGTGTACAAAGGAGATTTGACATTTGCAACAGTGAGAGGAGCAGGACACCAAGTGCCAAGTTATCAACCCAAGAGAGCACTCTCACTTATAATGCATTTTCTCTCTGGTTCACCTCTCCCTGATACCACAAGATACGACTGATTTCATTTCATTTATGCACATTAGTATATATATATATATATATATATATATATATATATTTAATACAATTATTTTCATTCAATTTTATATATTACCTAGGTTTTTAGTTGTTCTTTTTTACTATTTCCATTGTTAGTCTATTTTACTTTCTCTTTTGTTTAATAATATTATTATTATCACTACATAATTGAATTATGTGAGGTTATATTGAAAGCATGAACCATTATATATATATTTAGAATATAAATAAATTAAATGAATAGTTGTAGAATATTTATATATGAATGAGATATCATAGTGGGTAAAAATTTAAGAATATGAATATCTTACGAACGACTATCAACGAAACAAATTATATTTATAGGAGTTGAGAGAAGGATTTAGTATCACAAAATTTTGTCTTTTGTATGTACAAAAATAATATGTATATATTATCACATTTTAGTTTTACAAAGCTACAAAAATTAGCCAAAGATTTTTAATGAAAAACTAAGTTAAACTTTTTAAAATTAAGTTTAATTTGGTAATTGTAATTCAATTAATATATTATTGAACTAAATTTTTAATTTTATTAAATTAAATATTATAAATAAGATATTGTTAATTTGTAATATACTTATAAGTAAATTTATTGAGATAATTTAATTTAATCACTGTAATTTTATTAATATATTATTAAATTAACTACAAATCTTTAATAACATTACAACTTGTGAACCCACTCTTTTTTGTCTTTAAACTTTTACTGCGCTCTTGAATATATGAAACATGGTAGAAAATAAAAAAGGATACAGGAGGGATCCGGCAGAGTAGGGTAAGTGTACCCGTGACCCGACCCGTAATGTTGCAGCTTAATGCAATTCTGATATGAGCTGCGCATTTATCATCCTTCACAAAAAGTTCTGCTATAAAGAAAAATCTTTTACCAAAATTAAACAAAATTCCAGAAGAAAAATAATCTCTTTCCATTTCCATTCCCAACAGTTCCATACGTTTTAAGAACTGATGCTGGTCGGCAGTTGTCGTGATTGCGGAGATTTGGGGTTCAGAAGAAGAAAACTTGATTACAGAGATTTGAGATTTGAAGAATGATATGAAAATAGTAGAGGGGATTGGCTCTTCTTAATTTTTTTCTAGGTTCAGTTTATGGATTCCGCCAAGAAGGGTTCTGAAAGTTCTTTTCTTCAAAATTCGAGTTTCTGCTCAGAAGTTTTTCAGCCACCAGCAGACGCAAAGATGAGCCTCGCACGAACCGCTGGTGACTCAGTGATGATGAAGAAAATGTGGAGAGCAGGACCGAAAACGATACAGTCGCTGGACCACGATATCCTCTGTTTAGTCTTCTCTTTCCTCAACCTCTTTGACCTTGCTCGATGTTCTGTCGTCTGCAAGTCGTGGTACTTGTTCGATATCCTTCATCTCTCTTGTCTTCTCTTTTTGATTTTTTCTTTCATGGAAATAGGACAAGGAAATGAAAATATGTGAAATGTGTTTTTGGGTTATTTTGTGAAGCTTCGTTTTTTGGGATTGATTATAAAGCTTTTTGTTTGTGTTGAAAAATGGAAATCTTGTACTAGAAAAGAAGAATTTAGCAAGCTGGTTGTCTTGAACAAATGAAGCTAATCTGATTTAGGCTATGGTTGGATTGAATTTTCTGTATGGAATTCATTTGCAACTTCACAAAGATGTAAAAATCTAGCTACGTGATAGCTCATATGGAATTTTATCTTAAAGTAGTATCATGATCGATGGAATTTGTTATACATTGTTATAGTTCCACGGTGGAATTCTGCATGAGCTAAGTTGTGTATATGTAAATGAATTTAAGGTAAATCTTGGATTTGTTCAGAATCACTTATTGCTTGTTTTCACAATCTCGGAATGCCATATGGAAGAACATCATGAAAATGAAAATGATAAGTTGACTTAACTATTGGAAGCACCATTTATTAGGTGCATGTGTGTATGCCACTGGTACCTTGTTTAGTCAAAATTAAGAATCAATATGCTTGAATATCCGCCGTGCTAATTTACTGAAAGAGTTTTTGGCTAAGATACTTTACACCCTTTTTGCAGTAATATATGTTGTCCATTATCAGTGGTTCAGTTATCTTGTTTTGGAATGCTCATGCTAGCCACTCAGCTGAATTGCAATCCAATGTAGGTTGTGAAGTAGTTTAATATGTGTATGCGTGTGTCTTTTAATGTTTTGCTCCGAACTAAATGATGTTACTACCATTTGCTATCTACTCATAGACACTTATAGGACCGTCTGCATAACGTGGCTTACTAATTTCCTTTTGAACTTTGCTGAAGATCAACTTATAATACCTACTTCACATTTCCTCTCCCTTTACTTGAAAAGGGAGGGGAGTGAGGAGACCATCATAGAGTCATCTTATATCGCTCTTTTTATTTTTGATTCATTCAAGGAATGCAGTCATCGTTAGATATAAGTTATTGCAATTGCTCTGTCACAAGCTGCAGCAGGATTCATCCACATATTCTACTCCGTCTACTTCACAACAGTCATTGGAGATAGACCTAGAGCTATTTGCTATGAAGCAGCATAGATCATTGTTACAAGAAGGTCAAATTGACATTGACCAATGGAAAGGTCATTCAATTAGGTAAGCCTTTTCGCGTGGTTTTTCCAGTTCATTTTCTTGTAAAATGTTGCCTGCATGTCTCAAGTGCATGGGGATTATAAGAACATTCTGCTCTCGATCTTGGATAATAACCATGGTTCTCAGTAATAACATGTGAATCTGGATAGTTGCAAACCTTATTTTTGGAGACTATTTGAGTTCTTTTCTTGCTGGGAAATTTCCCAGTAGTATTAGTGCTTCAGTTCTTTGGAGATGGAGGGGTGTGTATGCATGTATGTCTATATACATATCTTGCGCACAATTTTTTTAACTTAATTTTCATTAGGATTGATCAGTGCCGACTGAAGATGGGCTTGGTTCTTACTGGTGTAGGTGACAAGGTATGGTTCATGATCTTTAATGCTAGTCATGCTTATGGACCATAATGTAAATTTGTGAAGCAGCATTATTTCAAAAAGAAAATTGTGAAGCAGCTTTTTACCTTAAAATTATGTACTATTTTGATTTTTGAAGTTTTTCTAATATCAAAAAATAACTTTTAGGAAACAGCTGAGTTTTTTCCTGCTTTCGACAATAATTTCCATTGGTTTTTATGGTTATTCTACCAGTGAATCAAATATAATATATTTAAGATCTTTGTGTAGAATTCTCTTTTGTTTAAAGCATCATTTTTACATTTCAAAGAACTTCACCATTTTTTTGTACTTTTCCCTGCATCTCCTTTTGTACAGATATCTTTTTTAACCTGAATTCTCTAACATTCCCCATGACAGTTAATTATGGGTAAATTACAAATTCCCTCTTCAGCATAATTAAAAAAAATACCCGTCT